ATGTGTATAAGAGACAGCATCAATGCCATGCAGCATGACTCATTATCCCACTGTGAGATGCTCCACCCAGAGGGAGAAAACCAGCATTCCATCCTGGATATAACCTGAGATTCTGAATACTAGAGACCTCTCTTTTCCACTGGATTTCCAGAGGACAGGAGCTACTTAGCCACCACTGGACTTTTCTGAGGAAGAGCAGATCTTGTTTTTCTACAGGATCACTGCTTCGGGGGGACTGCAGCCACCATTCTACCAGACTGCTACCACCACCCTGATTAACAGGCTGTCAAGTTGTATCCTGACTCTGTTAGTTTAACCCAGTGCTATCTGCCTTTATATTTTTTTTTTCTTTATTAAATTGTTATTCTGACTTGGTGTCTCCCACTAGTTTGCTTTCAAACTAGCACATCTGGATATTTTTGCAAGATATTGTGAAAACAGCAAGATATCTGACATACACAAAGATACTGTCACTTGTCAGATACCCAGTGCAGGACTTGCTGGCTTTGGAGATGGATGAGTAATACTTTGACTTTAAAAAGTTATGTCATTTTCCCATGCACTACCAGTTCTTAAAACAAAATGTCAAATTGTGATGCAATATTAGACTATATTTACTTAAGGATATTTACAGGGAAATTCTATGTTTACCTAGGTAGAAAGTACATCTTACCTGCATATATAACAATTCCTATTGCAGCCTCAGTATTTCTGATTGTACATCCACGAAGCAAGAGGCTTTCAATGTTAAAACCAATCCGTTCATGATTTGGCTGCTCCCTAAAAGAAAGAAAATCAAATAAAGCAATGCCTTTTTCTGTTCTAATATAGTATTATAGAAAATTCTTGTGTGCATGATTGTTTCAAGTTGAAATCAAAGAACTGTGAAGGCCCTGTTTTGCTTGTAATTCACTCAGCTTTAATAAAGACTCTAGGAAGAAGTTGCAGAGAAGTCCAGATATCTCTTTTAAAGACGTCTTACATGGTGTGTGCATCGTGATGTCAATATGAAGCAAGTCTGGCTTTCATCTGGGACCTTATCTGGCAGATTCAGTATCTTATAAACGCCAGGATGTGGCTTCATTCAGATGAAATTATTTTAGAAAGCTGGGCAGGGTTTATCTGCTATTAGAGGTTCAGATTAAAATGTCTTCACCCACTAAGAGCCTCTGTCTCTCTTTCTCAGCCACCAAAGGGCTTCTCATCTTTGTGAACCTCAGCTCGCTTGAACAGTCTCTAGGCTGAGGCTTTGTTCCTCGCTCCCACATTGGATGGAAGACTTTTCATTCTGGCTGAAGATGTCCTGTCACACACCAGAGCTTTCTGCTAGCAGAACAGATTGATGAGAAATTAATGGAAATTGTCAGGTCAGTGCTCCATCAGGCAGGCAGTGTGTTACTTACCTCTGAAAATGAAAGCACAAAACTACTTTTGCTCACATTTTTTAGTAAACATTCTGGAAGGTTCCTTCTGTGAGATCTTTACCAAAGCTGAGATTTTTCACTTAGGTCACTCCATCTGGTTTTGTTATGTAAATATCAGCATCAGAAAATGTTTTTTTTCTAGAATCTTTTGCTACTTTCTCTTCCATACTTGGCATTGCATTTACTAGTACACTGCAGCAGCACTTAGATGGAGGGCAAGGTTAGGTGCTACCTTAGGGCTAAGTACAGTCCTGTATCAATGTGAAACTGCACATTATTACATGACATCAAACTAGGCAAGTGAAAAGTTTAGATGCCAACAACCTATAGCTGCTAGAATTGTAAAAAATGATCCAAGGAACCTGTTTTTCTGGGAATCTAGATTCAGCCTCGGTGAACACATTTACTAGAAGCCTTCTTGCATCCCCTTAAGTAGAATTTGCTATGGTCAGGCATGTCAGATAAATGTCACTGAGTTTGTTATAATTTTTAGCAGAGAGAGTACTGCTACCATTTTATAGCAAGGCAGTAGAGCCTGAATAATTTATTAAGAGTTCTTGGAGAAAAATGTAACCTGGTCGAAGTAATTTATGTTTACAAAATAGCTCAAAGACAGAAAGTCTTCTAACTGTTAGTAAGCAATTTTCACTAGTAAATTCTTTCATCTACCCCTGAAGCAGGGAGAGAAAAGCAGATCATTCCATATTCCACCATGCAGGTGAGATAATAGGAATTTTCCAAGAGATTTCTGTTACAGAATTTCAATAGAGAGTTGAAGATTTTGAAGACAGTCCTGGGTCCTAAGGGTGTGTATTTGTGTGTGTTTTCTTGGGACATATCACCTACATTTCTATAATCTCAGTGCTTTTGTGCCATATTACAGCAGGCTAATTGGAAGGATTGCTTCAATTTAGATTATACCCAGTGGTCCTCAAAGCCATCAACCACAGCCAGCAATCAATACAAACTTGACCTCTTTCTCCCTTTTAAGATATCAGAATAGAGAGGAAACAGCATTGCTATTAGAGGCATCATTCTTACAGGGCATAAATTCTCAAAACCAGATTAAGCACAGTCAGTGCTAATGGGTGAGAACCCTCTGGTTTACTCCTGTCAGAGGATCTGGCCATTTGTAGCTACTCCAGGTGCAACACTCACTGCATTCTTGCAGAGACATTAACTCCTAGCTTAGATATTAGTAAATTTAACAAAGCCAGGGCATGGATAGGAATGCTAGCAGAGACATACAGTTAAATTGTTTGCATAATGTGGGGCATGCATTTGGTCCGGGGCAGTAGGTATTTCAGACAATTCTCTGGTGTGATGCGGGAATCAGCAGGGACCAATGACTGCTCTGAAGAGCGTCCTGAGAAACAGCTGCCCTGTACTGGAGGGCAAGAGAATATTATGACATGAGCCATGCCATACAAGTTGGCCTTATAGCCAGGGAAGGGTCTTAAATCTGCTGAATTTTCTAGTACAGATTTCCCTGTTAGACCTGTGCCAGAATTATTTATTGAAGAAAGAACAGAAGGAACACAGGATATGGCTTTTTCCTCACATACACAAGTTTACACCTTCCTCACATACACAGGTTTACACCTTGCTTGCTTGCTTTTTCTAGCTGTAAGAAGAAAATCTGATTTGTTTGTTAGATCCTGGATAGCTTTTCCCAATGGCCATAAAGATGAAGAAACTAGAGGCATGCAGCTGAGTATCTTTAACATTAGGAAGGATTTAGATTTAAAATCTAGCCTAGACTAACCAGGTCAAACCTAAATGAGCTTATGTCTGAATTCTGAAAAGAGCTGAAGCCTTGTGAGAACAGTTTCTATGAAACAACTGCAAATTCAATGTCAAGCCTTGGTTCTGTCTTGCCTTGAAACACAGATTCCAGTCTATATTTCCTATCGACTTCTGAATCCAGGAATAGATAATAGTGACATCCATTGATTTCTGCAAAATAGGTTCTTTCCATCCAGTTCCTCTGAGAGAAATACTAATGTTCAGATACAAAATGCATTTATAGATAACAAATACTTACATGTACCCTTTGAATTTATTGAGATCATTGTTAGGCATTTCACAGATGATGGTGTTTTGGAAAAATTCGGGTTCAAACAAGGTATTCTGCAAGAGGAAACGTACTGAGAATGAGTGTCAAATCCAATGAGTACTTGAAATGTTATACACTAAGAGCAGCTAAATATAGTCCACCAGGATAGTTGGGGGCTGGAGCACTTGCCCTACAAGGAAAGGCAAAGGGAATCAAGCTCATTCAGTCTGAAGCAAAGCTTCAGAGGGGCTAAGTAAAGATTTGAGATTTTCCTCTCTTGGATTAACAACTAGTTAAATTAAATGAAGAAAATGCTGTGTATTGGACAAGGCATCACAGATGCCAATTAGTGAAAACATCTGTCTTCATTTAAAGTGAATCTAACAAATAGATCAAATTATTTATGAAAGAAAACCAGCCTTCAACCAAAAGCAAGCTCAAATGAAAATAATTTCAGGATTTATTAGGATTTTAAAATATGTTAGAAAAGTTATGTTATTGGCCAGGACGGTATAATCATAAGAGCCCACACATTTGAATAAACATTCAAATAAGACTGAAAGCAAGATTAATAGCAAAAAAATGCCAAAGCCCACCCCCCCCCAAATGAACAAAGAAACAAACAAACCAAACTAAAAGAGGGAAGGTAGTAGAATCAGTCCAAGCCTCTGGGAGACACAAAAAAAGACAGTGATTTTCAGGATAAGTGCTCGCTCAAAAAGCGCTTGGAGCTGAACTGAGACACGCAATTTTGCTTGATATCCCCTGTGTTCAGGGAAACAGGCCTGGGTGTTGGACTGCATGAAGCAGTTTGGAAAGTACACAGCATGAGAGTACTTGACCGCCATAAGTGGTGTTTTTTTCTTAACTGAAAAAATACATAAAACTTTGATGTTAGATTCAGAAAATGTAATAAAAATAGGATGTGAGGAATGTGAAAGAGAATCATTATTGTGTGCTATAAAATATTTAAAAGAACTGAAACTCACTTTAATCCAAACTCCTCCCATTAGAAAAACTGGAAATCAAGTCTGCTGCTGGGCTTCCCTACCTTTTTCTACAGCAAGAGAGACTTCCAGAGATTAGACTCCTTCAGAAACTGCAAATCCTGGGAATCTTTCACTGGAATTCACAAAAACTTTGCCAGACTGCAAGAGGACTTCCTTACACTGCCAGTCCTGGAGTCACAACTTTTTCTTCGCTGTGCTTTAATTTTTACATTATTTTCTCTCTCCTGTTCTTTTTTTTCCCAAGCAATACATATATTCTTTTTTTTAGGAAATATATATAAAATATTTAAGTACAAGCAAGTAGAGAATCTGATCTAAAAAAGAAGGTTGGAGGAAATACAGAAGCTTGATGAATATGAAGGCATTTTGTTATACCTTCTGACCCATGTGGCTGAATATTTTTAGAATTTCTTTTAAGAGATATTGTTCATCTCTGCTGAATCTTGTTCAACTCAGTGAACTCAACAGGGAAATCAGCACATATTTGGTTGTGCTAGAAATACAATATTTGTACAACAGGAAAGCAGGAAGATGCAAAAGGCACCAGGAGGGCTCATTACTAATGAAGAAAACGTATAGGCTTCTAGCTAGAAAGTGATAGAGAAGGATGATTGTTCTCTCAAAATTTTTTGTTTTGATGACAAGAATTTTACATTTGAAAATTCAAGTTAGAAAATGGCATGAGGAAGAAAATAATAATCCTTCCTCTCAGCCTTTTACAGGAATTCAATATTCCAAAGCATATCCTAAACCAAAGAACTAACCACAGTTCATACGTACTTCCTCCCTCCTTAAAGAGTCACACTTTATAGACATAATTAAATCTGAGTAAGTTTTACATAGCACATAAATCACATGACTAAACAAACCTCAAAGAACAAGGAAGGACTTGGCACACTAAAACTGCACATATAATATTTAGTGCACTGTTTTTTTGTTTTTTTTTTTTTAATCCAACGTACTGTTTACACCAATACGTTAAAGAAATGGGGTAATATAGTTGAATATTAAACCCTGAACTTCCTGAGCACTGGCTATCACCATGGTCAGAACTGCATTCCACTCTGCCAATGTAACAAGATTTTGTAAGTATAAAGACTTCTGGGCATACAGTTTATCTAAATAACTCAAAATATCAATAAAACCCCCCATGAATGGGCAGTCTGAAGCATAACTTGGCATGCGGGGATTTTCTGATTTAGAGAACGACTTCCTCATATTATAAATGACGGAGGCAAAATTTGCATTTTGTATGATAGTTGAGCACTCTGTTTTCCTCTAAAAGCAAAATTACAAAACCTAATGTGCAAACTACAAGACACAAACGCAGCATTTTAATTTTTCTATTTAAGTAGATAGTTTATTGTGTTTGTTGCTAAATCTCTACATCTTAAAAATTTTCAGTTTCTCAGGAAAAATACTTCTCCCTAATCATCACTGGAAAGCACTGGAAAATGTATGCTGTACCTGAGAAAACCCTTAATTGTGCAAGGAATACTGTAGTACAGTACCTGACCACAACTTGTCATGGAAATGGTGTACTTCAATAAAATTGGTTGCTCACTGGAAGCTGTGTCCCACCCACCAATAGATCTTCCTAATGGCACTATTACTGACAGCTAAATAAGTGGACGAAATTCCTAGAATTACCTACAATGTTTTTGGATTTTCTGTCTACTGGAGTGATTCCAATAAAACAAAATACTTCTCTTTTACATGGTACAGCTCCTTAAATGTGTTATTTGAAAACCTGAAAAGATGTGTAACAAGTACAGCTCTCCCTAAGTCATATTTTCTTCTTTACTTCAGGTTTATCAGACATGAATCAAGAGAAAATACCAGTAAAGTGTTTGTAAAAAGGAAATGATAATGACCTATGGAAAAAAATACGGTGATTCTAAGCGCTCAAACTGAATCTCTGCTAACAATCAAACTGATGTCAAACATATCACTTTTATTTAATATATCTTGACTTCCTATTCAATTGCTTATTTTATCCTATAAAAGGTTCCATTATTTCATCACAACCAAGTGTGCCTCAGAGCAGTTCCTACTTGAACTGCCGTACACCTGCCTGCCTAGCAAATGAGCAATGGTACATGAGCTGTAACAGAGAAGCAAAATCCATGAGGAAGCCCATGGCCGCTTTGGAAGGGGGGCCATGACCTCTCTTCCAATTTCCATGCAGAAATAATTCACTCGGTAGTAGTGGCTTTGCTGTGGGACGTGCTCTGTGCTGTGACAACCTGGAGGGTACAGATGGCTGACACAGAGGAAGGACTTGCTGCTGTCCCAAATGATGGTACTGAGCGTTGCTGCTTAAGCATCTGCTGATGCAGTTTTCTGCAAACAACTACTCTCTGAGCTAATACTCCTTTTTATAAAGCCAACCCTGTGCCAGAAAAACAAAAATCTTCTAGGACAAACTGCTGCTTTCCGCACAGGGCATTAGCTCCAACAGCAAACCGCTTTCATAGCAGTATCAGCACAGCCAGACCACCAGAACTGGTGCAGTTCATGGCTGGAGCTGGTGTGCAAATGGGCCCAGACCATCCTGCACTGCACCAGCTGCATTTTCAGCAGACTTACCTGGCTGGAGAAACCCATCACGACGTGTCGTTGTTTAAGGTTGGTCTCCCCGTCAAGGTTGGCAGTTTCCAAGTGACAGATCCCATTCTGGTCAGAGGAGTAGAGCAGTAGGATATCAGCTGGGATGGTCTCATTACACTGAAGCTGTACAAAATCCCCCACTCGGACATCTTTCCAGCATTTCTCAACATAAGCATGTTCTTCCCTGTTGCATTAAAAACATGTCATGGGTGAACAGTGACATCAGGACAGCAGGTCTCCTGGATAGTAGGGCTTTAAAAAAACAAACTGGGGTGGTGGCATATTACTGTATTTTATAGTATAATTTCACCTTATATCACAGTCAAATAAAATCTTTACATAGAATAAAAAGGAACTACAATAAATGTTCTCTTTCATTTTAGCATTAGCCCTATAATCTCCACAGCAAAAGATAGAAAGTTGTTCAGAATGAGAGGTGTTTAAAAGTACCTTATTCAAACATATAAGCATTTCACCAAAAATTATTATTTTTTAATTAATAAATAAAAAATAATTATGTGACTATTTCTCAGAAATTTCCAGCAACAGCATATAGATCCTGAAAGATACAAACTGATATATCTCAGCTACACTTGCTGCAGGTCTTTCCAGTCTGTAACTCTCAAAAGGTAATTACAAGTCTTGAGCTTAGCGCAAGGTAGAACAGCAGACAAACGACCCCTTAATATTAAGTAAAAAAAATACAATAGAGCCCAAGTTTAATGGAAAAGTTAAGGTAAGAAACAAAGAGCTTCTAAATTAAAAAAAAAAAAAAAAGAAAGAAAGAAAGGAAAAAGAGCTTATGAGGTTCAAGGAAAATATTGTTTCATCAATGAAGCAGTGCTCAATGGTTCAGGAAGTAGCAAACTTTTTGACATTACATTTCCAATAACTGATCCTTCAGCTGCTCTTAATCATCTAAGCAAACTGAAAACTGCACAATAAGCTTTAAAATCAGTTAATGGAAAAACTGCATGGACAACAATGGCCCAGTTCATTCAACTCTTCGAGAAGAAATTATTTTTTCAATATGAATAATTGAGTCATCTTATGTCTTGCTCTGTAAGAGGGAAAATGCTTGTGATACTTTACCAGACAGACAGTAAAAGGCTTTTTGCCATGACTCAGTGTCCCATTTTTGCTTAAGTTTTTAATCATCCTCATCTATTGCCTGAAGAATACTCTCTTTCAATTAAGTGTATCATGAGGAGAGCAGTGATAGAGCAGATGAAGTGTTTTGCTTCAGTTCAAAGCACACATCCAAGCATTGCTTCAGAGTCAGGCCAAAGGCTGCTTCCTGCTAACCTGCTTTCCCCGTCTTCTGTAAAGGGGAGCCAGCAGTGATGCTGTCAGGCAAACCCTTGCACTTGACTGATATCCTTATACATAAACCAACACAGAATAACAACTTCCTGCAAAGGTTATGCACACAGTTAAGTTCTGTGCATTTCCCGGTGGTCTCCATTTTTTATTGAAAAAAAGAATCCCCACCCCCCACCTAACTATTTAAACCCCTTTAATGCTAGATGTGAGGTGCTTAGTAAATAATAGTATTGTAGCAATAATTTTTCCTTCTTACATTAATTTTTCATTCCTGAATTTTTCATTCTTCTTTTTTCTTTTGTCTGACTCTACTTATCTGCATGTCCTTTTTTCACTTGCTCAACAACAGACATAAAAGCCCACACTGAAGAACAGAGGTTTGTTTTAAGTTAATTTGATGTTGCTGTGCATTATAAAAAAAATTCCAGATGAATTTTTATTTGAAAACTATTTAAGCAAGTGCATGTTGAGTACTTGCTCTACAAAGTAGATACTAATATTAATATAGCAAATGAACTAAGGACTGTACATCAACTCTTGCACAATTCTGAGCTTTATAGAACAAACTTCTGTTTTTTTCCACTCATAAAATGCTATAGAAGGGCCTTGCCCAGCTGGCTGTCTTCCACCTCAGCCTAAAGAAACCAAGTTAGTAAAAATAATCCACAGAAATCACAGATTTGTAGCATCTTTTCAATAATTCCCTATGAAACATACATTATATATAAAGCTTCAGGTTCTGCTCATACACTAATTACAGAGGAGATGGTGAGTCAAAAATGCCAAATAACCTCTTTCATAACAGAGGAAAAGTCTTAGCACAGGAACTAGAGTTCAGGAATTGCTAGAATCCCAAACCTGCATTCAGGTGAACAGACTCTCCCTTGTCTCCCAATGAGTATCAAATTTGGTAAAGAAATGCATTTTCTTTTCCTGAAAGAACTATTCAGCTGGAGCAGTAAGATTAACAATTTCCTACAGTACAAAGGTTTTCTACAACTTTGTAGAGAATTACCAATGGATGAAAGGAAGAAAAGTACTTCATAAGAAGCCTGGTGCACCCCACAGCAGCACTGGCCTAGTTGCCTAACAAGATTTTTCAAATGAATCAGTTCCTTTTAGCAATTCCTGGAACTGGGAACACTGCCCATTTCTATTCAGTGATTAAAGTTCATAGCACAAGCTCTGGTTGCAAAATAAACAGAGGAGCTTCATAAATCTAAGATGGTCTGAGGAGAAACATACAAAAAGGGCAAATCCATTTATCCAATAAAATAAACAAGACGTGGTCATTTTCACGAGGTAGAAAGCTTGAGATCTGATTCTCATAGCATATGCCATCAGGACTGCGACATGTCAAAGACGTGATTTAAGAGAAAAGTTTCTCAGTACCTTCTCTCCTTTACGAGTCAATTTATCAACAGCACATTAAAAAAAAAGTGTTCCCTTGCTGTCCTGGGATAATGGGTAGCACAATATTATGTGCTCCATATGTGGGTAGCACATATTATATGGGTAGCACAATATTATGTGCTCCTCTGCTCCATCAGAGGATAATGATGAGACAAAGAGGCAGTTAGCCTTGAACAGTCAAAGTGAAGTCTGCCAGAATTTGTTATTGGGCTCATCATATCTGACCAGAAGGCCTGAACTAAATAGACTTTATGAAGTCATTTCTGGGAAGAAAGGATCATAAAAAAATCCCACTGTTGTTGGTGATTTGGGGGGAACATGAATAAATTATTGACTTTGTGTCAACAATTTCATTTCACATTCTTGGATTCAATACACATAGATCTCAAACAAAAACTGGGTCAAAATTGATGGTGAATGGGAGCAAATAAAAATTATTGCTCTACTCCCCAGGGAGATTACATAAAAGCCATTTTTCATGTGCACTCCATATCATGTCTGAGTCCTAGATTGTCTTGGAGAAAGATCTTCAGAAACCTTTATCATCTAGAAGTATTGTATCAACCAATTATTTCAGTGAGTCTTATTTCCATGAATTATTGCAAGCTTCATCTCAGGATCCTTTACAGCTTGAAGTAAATACATTGTTTGCTCTACCTTTCATCCCCTAAATTGTCATAAGGGTGTAAAACTTAGAAAAAATCAGTATCACTGTCATAAATAGACGAAACCAAATGTTTGTACTTTATCATATGTAAATTTTCTAGAATGTTATGTTTGAAAATGGTCCCCCTCAATCATCACCTACTTTAGCAAAAATGTTCTACATGTTTAAACAACAGGTAGAATCACACATTTTTATGCTATCAAAGATTACACCAGCTTTTAAATGGAAAAATGTTACAAGATGTTTTCAAAGACCACTTTATGGCTATGACCTCATGGTTAGGAGCTACTGCCATAAAACTTTGAAAAACTGACAAAAAGGGAGCAGATTTAGGGCTTGAGGAAGGCACTAGACTGGAAAGGAATTGATTCTGAAACCTGTCCACAGGTCAGAGTACATCACAACTTGGCTGATAGTATTCCTGAGCTAGAGATATTATCTGAGCATGAGAAGGTACTCTATTGTCCGTAACAATCCATCACTGCCTTCTGCCACGTTATCATTACAGGAGCTGGGAAGGTTGTTTTTGTGACGTGGACATCAGCCCAGCAGCATCAATGATGTCACTTAGCAGATGCTGGTCCTGTAACAAACCCTCATTAGCACGCAGCTATAGCTTTTCCACATAGCCCCAAACTCAGGATTTGTATACTACCTTAAGACAGCAGTGATCATCTTTTAAAGATACCAGGAGTAAAATTTTTCTAAATTCTAACAAAATACATCTTTAATGATACCATTTTGGCATTCCAAATTCCTTAATGCTACCAACAGATCCTATCTTTTTATGTGCTAAAACTGTCTACAGTATCCTGACAAGGAACTTATTCTCTTAATGATAAAAGAAGCCTATATTCAACTTCTATAACCAAGTCAAGTTTATGTGAACTTTAAGCAAGTACCAGAACTTTATAAATGTATTTTATAAACCATACACAAGGTTTTGGATTTAACTTGCCTTTTTAATCTCTACCTTGATTTTTTAATAACCTGCACCAAATGAAGAAATAGAATATAAGCTAGATGTATTTTGAAAACATATTTGCTTAGACTTTACTAGGTTTATTTTGTAAATTATGGATTATTGTATTTAGGAAAATCTAATTTTTTTTTTGAATACTGCCTTTAACAAAATGCTATTGCTATGATTCTGCCAGCTGGAATCACCAGGTAACGCCAAGGTCACTTAATGACTGCTAATCATTAGTACTAGTGTTTAAGGACTCCCAGTAATTTATCAAAATTCTGGAAGCCACAGCCTAGATCAGCTTTTTGGTACAGTCATTACCTTATATGACCTTGTAGCTTTTGAGGTCACATGGTAGAACCCTGCTTCTCTCCAGTTTTTAATGGTCTTTTTAAAATTCAGAGTTATGATGGAAATTAATGCCATGAGGTCATGATTCTGCAGGTCTCTGAGCCAAAACCAGAGGTTATCTTTTATTTGCCCTTTGTCTTTAATTGTTAGCTTCTGCTGCTCTCTGCTAAACCATTGCACTTTCTTTGTGAAGCAGCTTTAAATGCCTTGGCAGGTAACAGATCTTGAAGAAAGCTCTGATAAAGCAGTACACAAACCAGTGGTAGCATTAGTAATTAGTAATTAGTAATTAGTAATGTATTTCTGGATTTTCTTCCACAGAGACCAAGGATCCTCACTGTGGCAATACACACTGACTGACAAGAACTGCTACCTCACTGCTCTTTGACTTAGAGGTGCTGCTGCCTGGACCAGCTGAGTGTTGAAAACTTTACATTCTTCTTTTGCATTTAGTCCGTTTAGC